ATGTCAGTCTGGAACTGTGTCAGTCTGGAAATGTGTTAATTTGGAACTGTGTCAGGTTGGAACCATGTTAGTCTGGAACTGTGTCAGTCTGGAAATGCGTTAGTTTGGAACTGGAACCATGTCAGTTTAGAACAGTTCAGAACTGCGTTGGGTTGCGTTAGTGGGCGTTCTAGTCGTCAGGAGTCTTAGAAACGATTACGGTCGTGCGTCAAACGTTACGAGTCGTTTCTCGAATCTTGTTTTCTTTTCGTCGTTGTCTTCGGTTTGCAATACCATCGTGACGTTAGTTCTGATGGCTGTTTGTATTGCAATTGATGATCAATTTAAAAGATCGTAATAAGGTTTTTGTCTCATTATTTTAACTGCAATAGTCGTAACTATCTCGCTATTCCACGATTTTGATGTAACAGTCGAAAAGGAACTGCTTTTACGACTACTCTACGAACACTCTTTAATAATTTAAACGCGCTTACAAACTACGATTTACGTATTATCGTTACCATTACGTGAAAACTTGGAGCTTAACGTTGGGAAATATTGCATCGCTGTGGTTTCTCATTCGAAGTTATGATTTCTTACTGAATAGCGAGCGCGCCTCAAGGCAAACGTGTGGACGACTTGAGTTTCACGAAAAATACCTCGTTAAATCGTACAATCCACTACGGTCATCGAATTCGACTCCGAGGCACGAAATCGAACTTTAATAGGCCTTACCTATCAGGATTGAAATCTACACATACAGTCTCTGCATTCATGAGATGAATTTCCTATTGATATATTATCGATCAATGATGAATGCATGCTGATAGTGATATCCTGTGTTTGCAACCAACAAAGGTAAAAAAAAAGAAGGCAAGAGAGAAACCCATTTGGATACAGCGACATTATATTTTCCAGTTTTTGATGTATAGCTTATTGAATAAAACATTTGTAAATTACTAAAAATGCTAACTCGACTACGCACATTCGTCTGTCCACACGACGCACGACCTTCGCAATTCTAATCTCGCGCACGACTCCAGTTTCCACCTACCACTAACATTGGTGACCACAGTCAAACCTGTATAGAAGGGTAACCAGCGGAAAACGCCCCCAACTGTCCTTTATAGACAGGTGTCCCTACTATAGAAGTGTCCGCTAATGCAGGTTTGACTGTACGCCACAAAATGAGCACGACAATATTTTTTCTCTGTATAACCATTAACACATGTATTCTCATAAGAATATAATATATATACGTTCATGGTAACGCATAACAATACATATTTTTCTTGCATGACAGCCGGTAGTCTATATCCCGTCTATATTCGTTTACATTCTGTAGTAAAACCACTGCTGCTGCTGCTACTACTGCTGCTGCTGCTACTACTGCTACTGCTGCTGCTGCTACTGCTGCTACTGCTGCTGCTGCTACTGCTGCTGCTGCTGCTACTACTGCTGCTGCTGCTACTACTGCTACTGCTACTGCTGCTACTGCTACTGCTACTGCTACTGCTGCTGCTACTGCTACTACTACTGCTGCAGTTGCTACTACTGCTGATGCTACTGCTGCTGCTACTACTGCTGCTACTGCTACTGCTACTACTGCTACTGTTGCTACTGCTGCTGCTACTATTGCTGCTGCTACTGCTACTATTGCTGCTGCTACTTACTACTACTGCTGATGCTACGTTCGCGTGCATTAGTCGTGGAAAATGAGATCAAACGAAACCGGACGTGCACGCTTCAATCAGATTGCTTTCACAACTCTCTGTGAAACCCCACTAGCTGTTTGTTATACACGGAAATCAGGTCGCAACATCCGATGTATACTGTATAAGCCGTATTTTTCGCGTACAGATATTTTCGCGAATTCAGACTACCGAAAATTCAAATTACCGAATTATTCGCGTGTTGTTATTTTCGCGGTCGGGGACGCGTTCGCGAAATTCGCGAAAATTAAACCACCGCGAAATATACAGCTTATACAGTATATAACAACAGCCGCTAGGTATATATCCGGATGCAGACCGGAAGAGGAAGTCCAATCCAGAGGGCGCTGAATCACACTACGCGAGCGACAAATGAAACGATCATCAAACGCATTTCATACGTAGAACAACGACTCAGCGTTCATCCGTTCTATTGATTCATATATTGATATAATTATTCATTCTATAAGGGAAACCTCATCAGGAATGCTACATTGAAGTTATCTAAACGATATATATATATATATTTATATATATATATATATATATATATATATAGATAGATAACTTCCTGATACACCTATAAATATGCAGTTCCTGACACGCGTTTACTGAAATAGTTGTTGCCTGCTGCGCGCGTACACGAGAATTACCTATCAACCTAGCAGGTGGTTTTGCATTATCTTCCATTGCTTACTCACACACTTCCGCGTGCTATATGCGCACACAGCCTCTGTTTCTACTAGAGATTTAGAAATGCTGCCGATTGTTACATCAGGATAATTATTCGCCACGTAGAATTGTGGGCAGGATTGAACAATAATATATTTTATAGATATTTTATAGATATATTCTTATTCAATCCTGTTGCGGGGTTATTGCAATAACTGACTATATAATATCATGCGACTAGGTTGAGAGCGTATGACACTCTCCATCGACTGCAGCCTATACACACTAGAAGGTTTCCTCTCAGCTACTCTGAGTGGATTCTATTATGAAGCCATCATCGTGTAAATCATGACTGACGTGCTGCTACAGATCATCTCCCGCAAGAAACGTAATAATAATAATAATAATGTATGTCGATACGACGTCCC